TGTTCGATGGTTTCTTAATAGCGCAGAGAAAATTTATGATGATTTTGTATGGAGAATGGGCAGCGTATAGCTCGGAAAACCTAAGCGCGGGTCGGGTTCGAAACTATTCGGTATCGGAAAAAACATCTTTTACCTCAAAGCTACGCTTTCTTTAAGCATAAAATGTGAAAAGAACGTCATTGGTTGCCAACTGATTCAACTAGCGAAAAGTGCATGCACGTGTTTCTTAAAAAACATTTAGATTTTGAAAGCGCATTGACAATCAGGGAAAATGCATGCTACGAAACTATATGATTTACATCATGAAAGGTATCGAAATTTGTGAATGATTGCTAATCATTCGCAAACGGACACCAATGGGTGAACCTACTATTTATTGTTACTGAACAACAAATTTAATGAAATCAAAATCATAAGGGAAATCTTGAATTTAGTGCTGCGATTTTTAGAAACACTAAGTTTTTTAGAAAAACTAAAAGTCCCGAAAAAGTTATATAATGCTGAAATTGCGTAAACTTCCTTTCAGTGCGAAACACTGGGTAAATTTGGCATCACAAGTAGAGTAACTTCTAAAAACCATCTTTCAATGAACTTTGCATTTAAATATTCCTAAAGGATTCGTTTACTTTCAATTGTGGCGGCTTGCTAACAACCTATATTTTGAGTATAGATTTCAAAATCTTTACTCGAGCACTCGTATTCCTTACGCATTCGGATTAACTGAGATGCGGTTTAATAAAGCAAACAGGAATTTGCTTGGTCTTGCAGATTAAGACGTATTATGAACAAAAGGCTTATAAGGGCGCATGTCGTGAGTAAATTTAAAACATTTGACAGGTTCACTCAGGGACATGTCATTATGTGTAGATGACGGAAACTCTTCTCACGTGAAATCCGCTTGTGCTTTTTCCCTGCTTTTAATTGCTCTGAGTATCGGATCGGCCTTGGAAAATCTCTAAATACTTTAGGACTTTCATATTTCCCAGGTAATTGCCTATATAGAAAGATTCACTATTATGCGTTGGTATCAATCGTGAAAACACGAAAATTTTTAAAGGCATTTACCAAAATAGCGAGTGCTTAGGCGTTGTTTTTCTTGTAGAATGTTGTGTGATGCACATTTAAAGATTCAGCCGAACAGGAAACACCGTCGTTGAAGGAAGTGAAAGTTAATCAACAAATAAACGACAAATATGCTTTCGTTCAATCAAAAAGCTTTCGATAATTAGTTACCTTTTGAGGAGTGATTTAGTACCGTACTCCGTTGACGAATGTCTGTACTTCCCATTTTTACATGATAAAGCCAAGAAAAAAAAATCATCGTTTTCGGCCATTTCTTTCGCGTTGCTGAAAATACCGATACTTTTTACCGCATGCGCAAGAACACGATTTTACCTTTATGTTGCGTCACTTTTCCCTATTTTTGCTCATTTGTAAGCTGCGTTCTGCGATTGCGTTGCGGAATGGGCAACGAAATGCTTACATTTTGCTGGAACTGTAAATATTTTGCCCATTTCATTTCTAAATTACATATATGCAGAATCAAGACCGCAAAATAAGCAATGTTCCTTGTTCGGTTCAAATCCTTAAACAATGTCTGGGACAGGTTTTAGCACAAGTAATTGCCCGAATAAATCGCGATGTCCACTTCAGCTTACATTTCTAAATATTTTTCTTGAAATAATCAGGCGAACACATTTTCTGCTAAATTAAAAGGCATTTATTCAAAGGGCAAGCAAGCGTCGTAAGGTTTCATAAGACAGGTCGCATACTGTATTTGGTCATTTTTCGTACTTGTGATTTCTACAGGAAGCTGAGAAAAATGTTTTTCAAATTCCGAGGTTCTGGCGTGATGGAAATATCTTGGGATTAGGTCGCCTGCTATTGAATAATACAACCCGAGATAAATATTTTTTAGGCAAAAATGCATTCCAGAAGACTGTAGGTAACTGTCGTGCACTTGTTTTTCACACTGTCTACAGGATTCGGATACTGTTTTTCATGGGGTACAGAATAAGAGCGCCTCGACACTGGACAGCAAAGTCTCCCACGGTCCTGGCATTTGGTCCGGCGCCGAATTTCCTCGATAAAATTACTCTTCGCGACGAAAAGGCAATTCGTTTCCGAGTGCACCTAAGGCAAAAACAAGCAAAAGAACTGTTTTTGTCAAAACATAAGAAGCTAACTTGTTGTTTGTCAAAACACAATCGGCGTCTGATTAGCTGATTCTGAGTTTTTTAAAGGTACTTTTGACGGGGAGGAGGGATGCATGATTGCCCTTATTATTTCGAATAAATACAACAATCTGTAGACTTTGTAGATGCTCCTCAGCACCGCCGAAATCTGCTTGATTTCAAAATACACGAATGTTTTAAAGGGCAGCAGGTAACGGATAGAAACCCATCTCCAATTCAGTACGGCGGCGTACTCTTTAGACGCTAACACTGATCCACTCGTTTAGCATGCGGAAAATCAGTTTTTAGTAGCAGCGTGCATTAAGTGACAGCCCCGTGACACCAAAGAATGGGTATGACCGGGCAAGATACCATGCGTATCGTGGACTGAGCGCAATTTGACGACCTGATGCTGTTGAATCAGTCGTAGCTTATAAGCTATCATTTATTAGTCATAACAAATCCTGGGTTTGCGAACGAGAGGTATGAACCCGACTTTTTAAATTAGTGAATGTAGGATAGTCAAACCTTCCACCATCGTGCCACTTGCCTGTCGTCTTTATGGCTTTTGACCAAGTTATGCTAGAAAATCGTTCATCGACAGGGTTCCGCGATGCGCTCATCCCGTTTTAACTTGGGGATCAACCCTAGCCCTTCGCAAGCAATCAGCGCAATGCCCAATAATGCATGAGAATAAGGAAGTAACGACGAGGGCAAAGGAGACTGGGATGGCCGTTTCCGGTTTTTTAGTCGTCTGCAATGCTTGAGCTTCCAATCCGACGTCTTCGATAATCAGGCTTTACGTGCCTGTCCGTACTCCTTGTTGCATCATTTCTGCCGACTATGCGATCAACTGCGAGGAAACTAGACTGAGCATCATGACACAGCTGGATGCGCATATCCCGTAATCTGGCTGGCGAAAGCCATTACCAGAAACCGCCTATGCAAGCCACGGTCTATAGCAATGAGCCGAACGCTTGCAGTTGCATCAAACCACATCCCAATATCGATGAAACACGCGTCTCTGCGAGTTTAGCTAACGAGCGTTCTGGTAAAAGGATAACTCAAGCTTAATGCATGTTTATCGCACCCAGCACCTACCCGATATGAATAATATTATGCAACTGAATTCTCCACTTCGGTCGTCTGCCCCGTAGTGTATTAGATCTTCACCTATTAATGAACGTTGCCGGAATTCTCTGCCTCCTCTATTGCCGTTTGACGCTTCAGGAACAATCAGATTCAGTGATATGCATAAAACCACACAATGATATCAAAATATACTTATTCTCGAACTAGATAACAATAGCCAACGCGAGTTCCTTATATTCCGTTCTCTGGCACGTACAGACAAATACTGTCAGCTTTCTTTTAGCATTATTGTTCCTAGAAGTAAGTAACCCCGGTTATAAACCATTTCCTTGCCGTTTAAAGTGCTTGGACTTCCTGACGTGATTTTTTATCGTCAAATTCCAACACGATCTCCGTCCTATTTGATGCAGCTTTCAGCCATATTCTAGAATCTTCTAAATGCACACAGCATTTAATGCATGCATATTTCTCGCACTCCGGTAATTCTCCCAACACGGAGCAAATTCAAGGTAAGTAATTCGACACCGCAGGACAGGAGTGTCGAACGATCTTGTCATTTGAGGAGAATGAATTGCTCACCGGATCGGGGGACTTTTCTGGCTGACGTTTCGAAGAGCTGGGGCTGCTCTCCATTGTCAAAGCGTCAAGTGAGAGCAGCCCCAGCTCTTCGAAACGTCAGCCAGAAAAGTCCCCCGATCCGGTGAGCAATTCATTCTCCTCAGATTACCGACCCGGATCTCTTACTTTTGCTAACCTGATCTTGTCATTACATCCGGTCAGAGTTCTCAGGGCTTTGTAAGATGAAGGAGATTTATGTACAGTATTCAACTACTGACCCCTCAGGTCGGCGTAAATGGTGACTTTGGGTATTCAGGTTCCTCTCAGTTCCACCGTTTGTTATTCACGCATTCATGAATCAGGCCTCGTTAGACATGGCTGGCACACTTACGACGTTACATAAACTAACGCTTTGTCTCGAGACTAACATAGTGTTCACCCACTTTCCCTGGTCAGCACGTTTATGCATCTGAGTGTATGAAATGGTTTTGTGTATTGCGCGACATGCAGGATGTTTCCTGACAAGAGAATACGACGTATCCATAAGGTTTGTGAAGGCTTACCAAAAGTTAGATCGCGGCCCTACTGTTTTATTTTAGAATCATCTTAATTTACAACCAGACGAACTTTAGAGTTCATATTGTTTTGATAATAACTGCGTTCCGCACAATATTACGCCAATTTTATTTGTAAAGAAAAAGGAGAAATTCAAGGTTTTCTGCGACCTCCTCTTGCGGAAAGTTGGTCTTAATGCAGTTTTGCGCGGCTAATACTCTTTTTTTTAGCCCTCAGGACATTAGATATGGTTGCTGTCGCCTCTCATGTGCTCGCAAATAAACCCACTTAAGGAGTGTGTCCTAGCGACTAATTGCAGGATGAGAGGAGCGCCGCTAAATGAGAATTGAGCTAAGACCTTCCGGTCCTCAAGTGTGCTTTTATGGACTCCTCTTGAAGGCGTTTCAGAAACCCCGAGACAGGTGGAATCCGGGCGGCGATAATGCTCCGTCCACAGACGCTGTCTGGCCGCACTGACGCGTCCGCAGGCGGCATGCCATTGGCTGAGACCTCGTGACGAATTGGTCAGTCGGCTGCCACGCCTCCAGTGACAACCACTACACGCGCGCACGACCGCTCGCTCGCACAGCTGGGCGCCCGCCACAGTCACACAGGGCAGGCATGAGCTTCTACTCCAAGGTCTTCAGTCAGAGCTCGTTGGTGCCGTTGGCGAAAATCGCCAGCGCACGGACTCGCACTCAACGCATCATCTGGGTCACCATCACAGCTGCCATGTTCATGGGTCTGTGCATCTGCATAACGCTGGTGACACTGCAGTACTCCAAACACCAGACTGTCTTCCAGCTGGACTACTCGGGTCGTCACACGGTCTACGACCAGACTCCCGGCATCACTATCTGCCCCGAGGGCAAGGAGATGCTGCGTCTGTTTAAGCACGCCTCAAAGGCCAACGGCTGGCCGGAGACGAATGTCATTCCGCCCTGGGAGTATCCACCCATTACTGTGGCGTTGTTGAAGCTGATAGCGGACGCAACGCAAGAGCCCCCGGGGGTCATCGGTCACCATCTGCCGCGGGGAAAGTTAAAGTGGGACACCTGGCAGACGGCGAAGTCGCCCATTTATCGCAGATTGCACAACTTTTCGGTGCAATTTCGAGTTAAACCGGCGCACTTGGAGGCCGCCTATCAGATTTTTGTTTTAGAGCAGGTACGTTTTTCGCTAAACCAGGTAGCTGTGCGTACGCTTTATTGAGAACTGGTGTGGAAGACCTTTTCCCACTTCTTCTGTTGTGAGCAAAAGACCCGTGGCACTCCACATGTAGGTAAGGACTAACTACAGTAGGTGGGCTAACTCATGAAATGTCAACCGAAATTCCGAAATGCGTTTCAGTTTCCAAAACATTACTAAGTAGCCTTGTGAAACTAATAATCATGCAGCATAATTCTATAATATTTCAGTTACCATAGGGCGCCGGATTTCGAATGAACTTCCTTTCGGTTAAATGCTGAAAATATATTCTGTAAAAAATGGCTACTTACGAGGCATGCATTTTTCTCATCGATTTTCGATGCCCTTAGAAGTCTAGTTATATTTTATGGAAAATATGCATAAACTACTCCTTCTTTTGCTCACTCGGTAGAAAAATAAGTGTTTTTCTAATATTATACTCGAAGGAAGGGTAATATTTGGATTTCAAAAACTTTTCCATTCCCGAGTAATTTTGAACCTGCTCTACCGTCACATTTGGATTCAGGGTTTCAAAACTACAAGCCGTATAGGTTCCGCCTACGGAAAACCCCACATTTCTCTGCGGTAATAAAGGGGAAAATACAGAGTTAATAAAATTCAACAATGGATTTGATCCATATTGGTAACTTTACAAGCCTCATTGCCTAATGCAGGGACAGGACGATTTATAGACGGTAATCTCACGGAATTTAGAAGTTTCACAATTAGAAACGTCTATAAAACCGAATCTTGTACCTCCTTCGAATATAAAATTAAACGTAAACGTAATTTTCTACCGAATGAGCAAGATAATGAACATTTCAATGCATGTTTTCCATGAAATATAATTGGACATTTAGGGACATCGAAAATCAATGAGAAAAATCTATTCTATTTAAGTAGTCATTTTTACAGGATATAATTTTTGCATGCAGTCGAAAGAAGATTCATTCGAAAGCCGGCAGCCTGAGGTAAGTGAAATGTTATAGAATTGTGCCGCATAATTACTAGGTTTACATCCCTACTAAATTTATCATTTCCAAACGAAAACGCATTTCGGGATTTCTGTTGGCATTTCATGAGTTAGCTCACCTAGTGTACGTTATAAATATATCTGAGACTAAAGTATTTGCTGCAATGGGGAAAAACCGAAACCGGCTGTTATTTTTGAAGCTTAACCAAGGGGAAGTCTAGGCAGATAAAAATGAATTTTCCATTTTCTGTTTACTGCTTATCAGATACGTGGAAATACATTTTGTAAAATAACATCTGTTAACTGCAGTAATTACTGTGTAATAACAGTAGACTCGATTGCCTTGATGGTTGCCAATTTTTTCCTCACAAGGAGACTCCTGTGCTATTCTCAAATTAATGCTGTGACCGGTACACCTTCCACTCATTGATCGCGCACTTAGCATGAACGCTGTTTGGAGGACTAACTGATTTCGCTGACTTCTGCGAGTACTTTATTTAGTCCTGGTTAAATGGAATCTTAATTAAACAAAATTTCATAGAAAGGGTGGAAACCTTAAACCTAGCGCAAATTCTGTATTAAGGGAATTGTAAATAATGGATAGACATACATAACTGCATTAGTATTTATATTTGAATGGATTCAATAGGATTGGATAAGGATGTAAATTTCGGATTGAAACCCGCAAGAAGACGTGAGCAGGTGTTTGCGGCTGCATGCTTTCATTTTTTGGGTTAACACTCGTTAATGTTAACGCATGTGTGGGTTCTGTTTAATGCCGAGTCAAAAGATTGCACATAAAGCAAGTAACGCAGGCGCCTGAGCTTCCGTTTTCATACAAAGAACCGCCGAAATCAAGGTTAAAATTTCTCATCACGTTTCGTAAAATTTGCCCAAAAATATTTTATATTGTATAACGTGAGACGTTTTGCCCCGGATAGACGCCAGGTTAAAATGACGTTGCGCCAACCCCCCTAAACCGTTCCTCAGATAGGGAGCGGTACGCTGGAACGCCAAAGCTTCAATATGACACCTCTCTAGCGTCGAGTCTTTTTGATTTAGTTGAACATACACCAGCCACAAAATAGTAGGTATCAGTTCACTTCGTCTTAAAGAGAAATTGGAAGACGTGTGCTTAAATATCAAGATTGAACTCTTATTCAAACTGAGGAGAATACGCATGCGATTTTGCACTATTGAGCGGGTTAAGCCGCCAGTAACGAGCTTTTTTGCAACGAAGAAAACGAATCTTCATGAAAAAGGGGACACTGTCATTTTTTCCGATGGTTTCCTTCTGCTTGGGTGTAAAAAGTGCATGCCAACGCCTGACAAAGGCAACTTTTTGAAAAGAAATTTTGACAAGTACTGCGTTTTCGGAACGTTGTCATACTATGTATGACTGGGCGCCTTAGTTTTGATCGTGTCATATAACCCTGTGTTAGAGCGAAAGTGTTTTGTGCCCATCCTAAGTCTCTAATTACCGGACACAGGGTGATTTCTAGTGTGCCTCATTGACAATGCCAATAATTATCGAGTGCTGGAAATCTTGCCGTTAGCAAAGTGTAATAAAAATTTGCCGGAAATACGGTTATCGTAAAATAAAAAATAGCTTCCTCGCCTTCACAACGCGGGTTATTGGGATTAATTTAATCCTCCGTTTACCTCGGTTACGTAATCTGCATATTTCATAGAAAGGGAACTCCGTTTGCTGTAATAAAGAATATAAAACCCAGATTTCTGCATTTATTATTTTTCCACAGTAGACTTTAAGTTCTCAGCAGGAAAGGATTGTTAGGCGTGCAATAAAAGCAATGACCGCGGTAGGCTGAAGTCCGAATTTGAACGCAGAATGGCGTGTGCGCTGGCGAGAGTGTTATGCCTATAGACATTATATAGTTCTCCGATCGGCTTTGCCTTGGCATAAAGACGACTATAAAGACATTCAGAGTACATTGGTATGAGAAGTGTTCGGTCTCATGTAATTAGCATTCGGAGTTTCCGTTAGGATGAAGCGGAATCCTAATTAAAAGCCTCTCGAAATGCATCGGTTTTTATGTCGTTTGGTGTTTGCTGGCAGTGAGAGGGGGGCGGTTGGGGATTTATTTTCACCTAATCAGTTTTCTGTAAACAATAGCCTCAGGATAGTTTGTCTGAACATTTGACGTTTTTGTATCTGCCTATTCTTACGGAATGGACTTTGCCTCGACACGAGACACGCAACTGTGTCATCATGCACTTGCGGAAGTCCACTGTCACGACCACAGGATCCTGTAACTACTGCAAAATCTGCGCAGCTCACTACTTTTTGATAAAAGATTCCACGGCAAATCCGAACTAACAGGCGAATAACGCCATTGCTCCAATCATAGTGCGTCCTTCTTCAAAAGTACTTCCTTGAAAGCGCCGCTTTGTTCCTTTTCAAAGGCAGGCAAGGACTTCTTGGAGGCGATCGTTCCTAGTTCCTGTGTGGCAGGTCGTATTATTACTGAATTGCAATCAAGAGCTGCCTGGGAAGTTGTTTTGACATGTCCATAACGTGCATTCACGTGGGTTAGTCATACAGCCTTATACAGCCTCATCTTACAGATTTCCTTTCTGAGTTAGGGTATCTGTCGCATTTTTTACGATGTCTTCGCTTAGGGCATTTTGTATCAAAGCACTTGTCACATAGGCTAGCAATGACGTCAAGTCAACGAACTTAATGACTTTGCTATATGGAGTACTCAGATCTTCTACGTTTTTGAAACCCTGCCGTCCAAACTGCTGGCTTTTAGCTGATGTCCAGCAAAATGATTTGCTTATTGACATCGATAAGAAAAATGAGTGTTTAAGACAAAAAATGTGCAACGATTGTTAAGAAAAAAAGCTAGTAATCTATCCACACTTTCCTCAGAGCCTACGCAACATATATCCAGAACAGCATATTTACTCGATAAATATCCAAAGGCGGCGGACGTGAGACAGTTGTTAGTTTGGATTTCGTTTGTTTAGGGTATGCTTTACAGTAAGTGACCGATCTCATGAAATGTTGTCTGAGATTCTGAAACGCGTTTTCGATTGGGAAGGTTAACTTGGGCGCGGTTGTATTACTGATTATCGTGCATCATAATCCTGTAATATTTAGAACTTTGCAGGAGGATAGCTGTTGAATTTATTGCCTTTTAATATCCTGTAGAAACTAGGCCTGTTACAAAATGAGTACTTAAATATCATGCATTTTCCCTATGTATTTTCGATGGTCTTGCAAAGTCAAGTAAATTTTGTAGAAACTACGAAAAGAAACATGCTTTCTTTCGGTCGTCTGGTAGAGACTCACGCCGTCTTTGTATTTATACTCGAAAAAGGATTATTATAATTACACTCTTTTTTTCGAGTTTAAAATATAACGATGGCGTGAGTCTCTACCAGACGACCGAAAGAAAGCATGTTTCTTTTCGTAGTTTCTACAAAGTATATTTGAATTTGCAAGCCAGCAGTTTGGACGGCAGGGTTTCAAAAACGTAGAAGATCTGAGTACTCCATATAGCAAAGTCATTAAGTTCGTTGACTTGACGTCATTGCTAGCCTATGTGACAAGTGCTTTGATACAAAATGCCCTAAGCGAAGACATCGTAAAAAATGCGACAGATACCCTAACTCAGAAAGGAAATCTGTAAGATGAGGCTGTATAAGGCTGTATGACTAACCCACGTGAATGCACGTTATGGACATGTCAAAACAACTTCCCAGGCAGCTCTTGATTGCAATTCAGTAATAATACGACCTGCCACACAGGAACTAGGAACGATCGCCTCCAAGAAGTCCTTGCCTGCCTTTGAAAAGGAACAAAGTGGCGCTTTCAAGGAAGTATATGTGAAGAATGACGCACTATGCCTGGAACAAGGACGTTATTCGCCTGTTAGTTCGGATTTGCACTGGAATCTAAGTAATTATTTCATGAGATCGACCTGTCACTGTACTTGTTTCCTAGTAAACATTGCTTAAAGAACGGAAGGAACTGTCAGAAAAGATCGTTGGAATAGAAACTGCATTTTTTTGTACTTTGGAACTAGTATCAAATCCGTTGCCAGAATATTCGGTCAGATAAATCTGGCAGACAAACGGGGGATACAGTACTTGTAGAAAGCATTTGCAGCGTAACTGCCAGCTTACTGAAATTGGCATTTTACTAATCCACCACAGCTTGTTCATCTTAGCAGAACGATGTTCCAAACTTTTTGTGGGAGGTCACTGCGTCAGTTTACGAAGCGCGGTCCGATAAGGCATGACTCTAATGACTCGCGATCCACACAATAGACACCTGCGTCACGATCCTGTCCGTGACTGCTCCCCAACAATCAAAGCTCAGCTTGAGATTCGGTCCTATGTCTCTCCATTGCTAATGCATATTCGGTCATTTGTATCACGCAATGTCCTAGTTTTTAGAAGACTAGCTAGTAAGCATATGTCTGCTTTCGATAAATTCTCGCCATGCCACTGCATTTATAGAGGAACAGGATGTGGTTCAAAACATGTCAGCGATTAATGCAATCAATTAAGGTTCGTTTCAGATAACAGGTGGAATGAGAGCGGAAGGATGCAGAGGGTTGCACTCAGCAAGTGCGGAACCTGAACGAGGTTCTTTTGCGCGCACAAGGCTGTCTTTCCTAACCTGATGGCAGTCGCGTCTGCTATTTCTAGCAGACACTGACTCAGTGGCTTAGGGTAGCTCGAGGGAACCCTGAAAATCACACGAAAATCTTTGCTGGGGCCCGTACAATGCTCGTAACGAAGGGTATGCGCGAGAATAACACTGTTCTCCTAGTTTCGCCATTTCCTAGTAATGTCGGGAAGTATTCTCGTATTCGTCTGGATAGTCGCCAACTCGTACGAACAACACAACCTGCTCCATAGGAGCAAGTGAGGGAATAGGTGTGCATTGAGGTGGTTAGGGGTGGAGGCCTACCCTTGCCTTCTAGGCGTAAAATAGGGTTAGCAGAGAATAATATTCGAAGCTTTGCTGCTGGGAAGGTTCATGTGATAACTTGATCAAGGCGTTTTCTTAGGCGTTTTCTAGCAGCATTTCATCGAAAAGGGACTTTGAGAAACAGAATTTTCTCTTCGAGTTCTTCCGGCCTTTCGGCGATATTCGCTGCCATAAATCTGTCAGAGTGTCCATTTTCGAGAAGCAAGTCCTGAATATGTCTACATTACCCCCCCCCTCGGCGTCGTCTGTCGAGATTTTTCCAGCTCACTGCCCCAAGCGCCGGACTAGATTTATTTCATGTTAGAAAAATACGAAACTGCCAAAGTTCACGTGCGGTCCAGACCAAGTTTTCTTCCGGTGGGCCCTCATTTGAATGACATCATCAGGTCTCCTGTCTAAAAAGACATCTAAGAAAGGGAGCAAACCAGCCATTTCTATCTTCCACGCGAACATGATTGAGAGATGCACCTGATTTGCGGAATTTAAGATGGTATCTACGCTGATTTATGCGGTGCCAATTTCAAGCGTGCATCAAGGAAACGACCGTAATGTTTGAGCTTATTCAAATTCCGGTCGAAATGACCTCTAAACAGGGCAGTAGAAGGGCAACGCCTGTAACATGGGCCGCTTTGAGCCAACGCCCAGTGGAATTAGAATAAGGTTTAAGGTAAGGATTAGATCAGTGACTAGGTTTGAGCCTAGACATAAAGATAATTTTTAGGTAAGTCGATATCAAGCTTGAGGCCAAGGTAGGAAATAGAAGCTATTGCAGAGTAAATGTTAGGTTTATGGTAAGGGTCAAGATTAGGGAAACGGTTTAGTTCTGTCCTAGGGTCATTTCTGGAGCTACGACATGAGGAGATTTTGTCCTTTCAGGACACCTTGATTACCTGGGCAGGCGCACCTATTCCTATGTCTTCTTTAGAAGTCCTTCCTACCGACATTTCTGCAGCTTACCCATAAACACATCGGCTAGTCTTGAAGAAGGAGACACGATCGCCGGGGCAAGCGCTTTATTAGCCTGACGTTTCGGACATCGGCTGGTAGAACTCGAAGAGGCGTACATACTTTGTTCGATACGACATGGGATCCGGTGTGCGAATGTAGGCGCTTCCGGTCGTGGCAGTAGATATTTCCATCTCACTACCCAGCGTATGATGGGTCCTTCTGGTCTATTCGTTATTCTAAATTCGTTTTCATTCCGGCCCTAGTGATCACTTTGCGGCCTCATTCGATTAAACGTTTGTGTTAGAGGGACTAGAGAAAAAACCTGCTCACTGTTTTATGCAGATCATCGTACGTTCTGTTTATTACTGAAGTAATTCTGGTTCAGTGACGGATTTCAAAAGGAAAGCAATTGTATCGTGTTCTCTGGTTGGTCAAAGAAAACAAGAATTACTCAAACGACATGTGACTACTTCAGCCAGCGGACAAGCCAAGAGTAACGAAGTTATTGAAAAGAAGTGGGTTTTTCCTCTTCATCATGAGCTCTGTTCGTCTGAAGTTTCGAATTTCTACATGAAATTTTTTCATAGATGCAACGACAAAACAATGTCTTGTATGGTTCTGTAAAACAGGTATTAAGTAATTCTATTGTGAGATTTTTTATCCGACGCATAATTGGTTCTGTTCAATCAAGACAAATAAAACCTGCTCGCACAAACTATGGTATATAAATTTGGAAGTTTTTGCTTACATACTGCTGCCAAGTCCGTCCTATTATGGTTGATTTATGGGTCTTTTAACGTCTTTGGCCATAAAAAAGCATTTCTCCGGAGGTAAGCGACGTAGGTTGCTTTATAACAGTCCACAACAAAATAAATTTTATTGGAATTTAAGTCACTCTGCCGCATGACATGCTATGACAAAATCTCTCTAAAGTTGAAGTTGCCGGTTATTTTGCAAGGTGAGAATCACGATGAGTTCCTCTGAATTTTGCCGTCCACATTTAAGCAGTTTGTTTTTTTCAATTTAACCATTTTCCAACTTCTTAGCGCGCGCATTTGAGAAGTCGCTGCCCTAATAAAGTAAATGCTTGACGTAGTAAAGTGGTTTGGGACTGCGAATAGTGCATGTCGCCAGTATTTGAGTTCTAAACTTTCGCACTCAAGGCCCAAGAATTCACTGAAAATCTTCATCTTACATTGTTCAAGTATGTCCAGAATCCTCATAGGATGTTTATATTTCCGCTCGCTAACAGGTCCCACACAAGATCAGTTTCATATGCACCACCTTTGAGCTGGCATCAAGTGAGCCTGAACTCGCTTGGTCTGACCTTGAAGTTGAGATCTCACAGGACATGACCACCGCAGCCGTCGCCACCAACACCGTCGGTGCGGAGATTCCCCGTGGCGCCACCTTCACCATCATTACCCACGAGCGCGGTGAACTGCCCTTCAGTGCCTATGATCGCAGCATCCACACCATGATCACCCCCGCCACCCAGATTTCAATTTACTTCTCAAAGTCCGTCACTCGACGCATTAACACTGCTCGCAACCCCTGTCACGAGGGTCCCGACGCTATTTGGATGTCCAACACGCGGGTCAGTCCGGATGATCCGACCGACGGCAACCACGTGGATAATGCCACCGTGGTGACAACGACTGCCGACACAGGCGTCCGCTTCCTGGACTTCCTCGACCAGCGTCGATTGAGTCTGAAGAAACAGCGTGCCTGGCCCACGTCGAATCTGCCCTATCTGCTGACCGTACCATTCAGTCCGCCCGCCCAAAGTTTGGGCGCCTCCGTGCTGAAGAATGTCTTTGGAGTTGGATCCAAGGAAGTCCGAGGCACTGGCGCCACCAACGATGGTGGTAGCAGCGGCGCCGGCGCCGGCGGCGGTGCCGTCGACCGCTCACTGACGGTACGTCTATTCAACACGGAGCTGCTGTACAGCCGTGAGGCCTGTGGTTGGGCCGTGTGCTGCCATAAGGTGGCACGTAACTGCAACTGCACCTGCTCAATGGACTGGCTACTCTTCACCGGTACTGAGACCTGTCCGGCCATGGAGTGTGAAAAACACGAGTGCACCGACTCACCCATCCTCTATGACCAGTGTCCCATGCCCTGTGTGACGGTGAAGTTTATAAAGCAGAACTCCCTGGTGATTGGACCGGCGGACTCCGGTCTGCCAAGCAATGTCTCCCTGATGAAACTGCTGCGCAGTGAGAACGTCCAGGTGGCCACAGAGGAGGAGATCTACTCCTTGGCGAAGCTCTTCTCGGAGATCGGCGGTCTCTGCTCCCTCTTCATCGGCTTCAGTTGCATCTTCATCTTCGAACTGCTGGAGGCCATGCTGCTGTTCAGGTCGGACAAGCGGGGACTGAGGGCGTTGACGGCGCAGCAGCCACCGCCGGTGTACTGCTGTTCGGGCGAGGCGGCCTCCGCTCCGACGCGGAACGGCGGGCGGCGGAAAAAGTGCGTGGCGATGGCACTGGAGGAGAACTCGGTCGTCCAAAAGTCTGCACCCAAGCCGGAGACGGCGTGTAGAGATGTTATCAGTGAGGATGACAGAGGGGCCATGGAGCTGGAACGGAAGGAGTGCGTGACGATCACGGTAGTCATGCGAACGAGTTCACTGGACGAATGTAAGCTGGCCAGCCCCTTGGATAATGATGCCGCGCATCGGAAAGAAGATACCTACCCAATGGCGGATTCACAAGGCGAGTCTTGGACAATATTTTTCTGCTTTAACTTTTACCGACACAAGGCGTTATCTCCAAACCTGAGGGTATTAGGGACAGGCCTGTTTAAATGCCGCTTATAATGGCTATTTTTTGCAGTTTCACAACTTTTTTTTCTAGTTCGTACGAGATTCCAGCAGCCGATTCGTGTCATTTCTTTTAGTCCACGGCCTTCATTGATGCTGAACGACTTTAATTCCCATAAACCGTTTTCCAAATGCATGGACTACAGGTACATCTTTTCATACCCTAGTAGGAAGCAATGCATTCCAGCGGAATGCACACACACACACGCGCGGTGTTTTCCAATTAAAATACTCGATGTGTTTAAACTCCAAAATTTCTTGGGAATTCTTCTGTGATTATTCCTGGCCGCAAACAAAATCTAAGTAAAATCGATTTTTGACCGATTGTGGCTGAGAGCACAACCACGCTCCTTGTCCTTGTTTAAAGTTGACGCAGGTACATGGGAGCCTAACGTGTTTTACCAGTGTCATCCGATCGAACTCCTTAGAATGTTTCAATGAACTTGCACTTATCCACAAAATAATATTTTAAGTATCAACGAATTTCTTCCTAAGTATAGCTAAAAGGATAAGTGGAGCTGAAAAATCGGCACAAAATATAGCATGATTTGACGATGACTGGCAATATAAAAACCATCTCTAGTGCAGGCATTATGGGACTAATAAAATTTCGAAAGCAGAGACGAATCTATATAGACGTGAGAGTGCCGCCTACAGGTCCAAGTGTTGGTAGTATATAGTAAATCGCATCAACGATACAAATATGGATGATTTAAAAATTTGTGAAGAATTACGGTTTTATTACGCCAAGGGTAAGCAAATCCTAGCCATGGGACTAGAAAATGCTAATGTAAGTCGTGTCGATCCTCCATTGACATGCTTGGTGGATTCAAATCCACTTTTAGCTTTTCAAACCGACTAACGTATAATCAATCAGACCGCCAGTGGATCAAACCTAACAAAAGAAAATATTCGGACAAAAATTGAAGAATACGAATTTCCACTGCCTAATTCTTTATATGGATCAGTCGAAGCACAGCCCCTTGTAGGGGTAACTGCTGACGTCATTGAACTTGGTGGACATGAAGTGAATATAAAATTTATTACTTTCCTGCGCAAGGCTTCCCCCCTCTTTCTTTTCCGTAAAAGCTGTTCTCCAGAACTTCCGAAAGCAGTGGATGCTTTTGCTGTACAAAAGTCTCCCGTGAGTATAAACATACCTACTTTGGCCAAAGTTGGCAAAAAATATTTTCAAAGAAGCCAAGGTCCTTTTCTGTCGACAGAATTTGTTTTACAAAGTCCGTAAAGATGGCGAAAGAGAATCGACCACAAGCACGTATTACGACTCAGCAGGCTTTTTGTATAAAGAAGACCCATGCTGGTATTTTTAGACACTGGCGTAAACCCATAGGCCCCTGTTTTGAAAACACTGCTAAATTCGGATTTTTGCACAAGTATAGACTGCGCAAAAGTCGTGTTGATTTCTCGAAACATTCTGATGTCTTTCTGAATCCATCCGTCGGTCAGATGTGGTTATATAGCCGCATCTGAGGCAAACAGACCCCAGCCACCTGTTATACGGGACCGGCGATAATGGGTGTTTATACAGGTGGGGCTTGGAGACTCACAGGCGACGGAGTCAAGCAATTGTATGCAAAAGTTATTGGCAATGCTCGGTGGTACCTTGAGTGATTGAGGAATAGTTGCCCTAACCATAATCCCTAACCCCCTAGCCATTAACCCTCACTGCTAACCCTAAATCCAACACCAAAAGTATTGAGTCCATCAGGAGGGGCTTCAAAACCACGTCTTACCCGTCCTCCGACATCATTGGCTGAGCATCAGAAACAGGGGTAAGGATGGGGTGAAGATTCCCAAACATATGTGGCATATAAAGAATACCTACTTGAGTGGGTTTCGTTTTTCATCGTACAAGGTTAAGTCGTCTGTTCTAGACGGTCTGGTGCATTATCTACAATGACCTCAGCTCAGAGACTTGAGAGACGATCGTTTTGTGCACTTTATGTTTATTTTTTAATTGTCCTGCTAAATTTTGTTTGTTATATGTCAATGCATTAAGACTTTTCCGCCCGTAAAACCAATTTACCTATTATTCATACTTATTTTGCCAGTCCACTATGAATGAATAGGTCGCGCCCGTAAAACCCCTGTGACCACCTTTCCCGTAGGACAGACACCCTTGACTGGTCGTGTGTGTGTTTGGAGTCCTTCATCCGATCGTTGTCGAAACAGGTTGATGAGACAAGCCCTCCAGTAGACGGGTAGAGCAGTCAGCTGGGAAGGCCACGCGAGATGTGAGAATCCGGTGAGGCCAGGAAGCGTTAAATGCCTTCCTCAGGTTTGATCTAAAGACTGCTCTGCGTGGTTCAGTTACGCAATAACGCAAGCTTATTATGCTCTACCAGTGTAATCTCTGATCTCTCACGAGCAAGCCATAAATATTACGCTGCAAGAGACAGTCGTTTTGAAGATGTTGAGCGTCAGGGTAAAGGAAAAAATTATCAATATGTAATGGCTAGTTCTTCATACAGACAGTTAAAAATCACGCCGGCGGAGATATCCATAAGCAGAACTAATAAAGCCTTCAATCTCCTGGTGCTACAGGCTTTAGCTTCGAGGTTCCCTATGGCGCATGCTCGGCGGTTAATTGAGACTGACGCTCTCTAATATGAACGAAATATTTTTTACACAGAACACCCATTCTTCGCATTAGGTAGCAAAGTACGTCCTCATTTTTCGCTTTTGCGAAAGGGCTGTATTTCAGGTGTAAACATTTCTCAATTCCTGAGTATTAATGAGCATTATTAGCATTCGCAATCGCTTTTCAGTTTTCCGAACTGCATGATGTAAATGTCCACTGTGAAAGAAATTTTGCAGTCTTTCTTGTTAGATAGGGAATACTAAACGGGGCTCATCAAACTGCGCACAACTTTATGGTGAGTTTCAAGATGTGGTATCTTAATTGACATTTCATTTGCTCAGACACTTCACAATTTATAATTCTTTTAAACTGTAAGCCACACTTTAAGTTGCTAACTGGCAGATGTTATTCCCTACCAAAGAAGTACAAGTAGAGATACTTTTGCATATGTTTTCTGCAAAATATATTAAAAATTATAAGAGTATTAAAAATCAGTCAAAACCATTGATACAGGTAGAGTAGTCATTTCTAACGGATCTGAATTTGGTTTTCATTTCGAGAGAAATGTCCCAAACGTCGAGGTCTTGAAGTGAAAGAAATATCCTGCACTCTAAGGAAAATTATAACTACACCTACGCAGACCCATCTGATTTAAACTCATTCCAAATTTTTGACTAACATTTTATCAGGGTAAGCTCTTCCCCTGTAATACTTCCGATAAGCTAGGACGGGATTACTGCTTAAATCACAGACGCCAGGAAAGGAAGAGGAAAACTAATTGCGATCTTGACCCAGTTATTTCTTTTACCGGGTCATCGAGCTGGAGTTCACCATCAGGGGGCGAGGGCTGAGCAAGAGCCGGTAGAGGGCATCTGCATCATCAGCCAATCAGTGGGCAGTGTCGCAAGTCTGCGCTGGCATCGTCATGCTAATGCAGGATTGAGTCCTCATCAGGGGCCCAGGTTTCATTGAAATCCCCGTCTGAACAGTCGTCCCGATGGCAGCAAAACTGAACTCGTGACTGATTTTGAGGGTGCGAACAGCCGCCTGTGATAATTCATCACTCCATCACACAGCCAGTTAATGCTCATGCTTGCGCTATCCGAGTTTTCATCTGTCCTGACCTGTGTTATTACAAACGTAGACATGGGGGGATTTAATCGGGTCCTTAATCATCATGACCTTGCTGCAGATGGTAACTTTATGCCGATGTCCAATTCCAGCACCTAGGCTTGCGGCAACGTGCTCGGTCGGCGATATCAAGTCTAGCCTACTACTACCTGGAAAGCGTTATCACACGGCTTTTTTGTGGGCCATAGAATTGTTTATATGAAGGCTTGGGAGCCATTCAGTGTTCGTCGGCATCCCGTAAATTGGAATTTTAATTTCATTGTTGGGACTTTGTTTTGGAAAAAACAACCAGGACGCACAAATATAGATAATTGGCTTCATTTTTGGTATATAATATATCTACGAAGATTTGGATTACCAGGTTATGTGAATTTTGGAGTGACCTTTCTAAAGATAAACCAATGTGTGTCGTTAATCTATCAATTCCCGTTTGCCGTATTCAATTTTTCTTTGAATGGAAATAAATATGCACTTTATGCCTTTGCCAACGACACCCCATCTACACCATGAAATCTTCACCGAAATTCCGAAATGCGTTTTCGATCAGAAAGGATTACCTAGATGGGGTTGGAAAACATATTATCGCGCAGTATAATCTTAGAAAATTTCCGTCATGCCAAAGTAGGAGCTTCTAAATACGCTGTTTTCCGGTGTCCTTCAAAATCTACACTAGGCAAAAATGGACTACTGTATCTAAATGGACTACTCCAACTGAGTTCCAGTGCACTTATAAATTCCAATGTATTTTATGATAACCACGCACAAAGATATTCCTTTTTGCCCCCATTTGGTAACATACCACGTCTTCTGAGAATGACATATTCAAGTAAAGGAGGGCCGTAGGTTTTAAAAAACTTTGTAAATTCTCGAACGGTTCAAACTCTGCATGCAGTCGTCGTTGGCACAAGGTTTTCTTATTACATACTGTATACGTTCTTCGTAAAGAAATAGACTTATTAGTCCTCACGCTTGAAAAGACTTCGTAGAGGGCTCACAATATTTACAATGACCGTAAACCATGTCATACAGCTCATAAACAGCAATAATAAAGGAACAAGTAGGACGCTGTATGAATGGAAATGGGAATTCCCTTAAAAATCGCATAATTGCGAACTTTATACAGAAAGATTCTTTTTAAGTTGTAAAGGGCAGGCGACTATAAAAAAGATAATTCGAAATACTCTTCATTGGTTAGTTTACACGGACAGATATATGTGGGAGGTATCTAACAACTTCAGTTAAATTAAAACCCTAAAACATTAAGTCGATTTTGTGGAAAAAACACGGAAAATATGATGAGGATTTCCATAATAGCAGATAAAGTTTGGATGAAAATGGGAGCCTTTAACTATTGTCGATTTTTATTTCCTCAGAAATTATCTACGAAGTTGGAGTAGATCAGTTTAATCAAGGCCTAAGGGCTGAGACCGAGATTTTTTATACATGAATACTGGGGCCAAAGTCTAACAGCCACAGCGGGCAGCTAGTAGTATACTTTAGATCGACGTGGTACCATACTAACAGCGCAGGTACTAGACAAAAACCCATGGGCTAATATGCTGGGGGACCCCCTGACGAGCCGAACCCCTCGCAGCTGCACCATGCAGCGGCAGAAACACGCGCGTATGGGTTTTGGCTAGAACCTGTGCTGGTAGTATGGTATCACATTACCCTAAAGCCTTTACCTATATTAGGACGGGCAAAATTATTAAGATCATCACCGGATTTTTCGGTCGAGTAGGAGAACTCGTTTCCGGACACTAGCAAAGCCAGTTTTTGCTGATTTATAGTAGCTTGAGTACAAGAACTTCGACGTGCTTTTGCTGTTGGTTTTGAAATGACGTAGGTTTGTGTTTAAGGCCTCCTCATCCTTGACGCCAACGTTCCGCCCGGTTGACTTTGTGCCTGGAGCAATGTTCGTTTTGACCAACATAATTGGGCTATTTAAACGCCCGTTTTGCATAGGGCAGGTTGCATTCCTGCAGGTAGCAGTTAAACGTGTCTGTTTGCTGAACTGCTGCTATTGTAACCTAAATGATTTGGGCTAACAGACGTTTGCCGTCGGATGAACAGATAATGCTGATGTTCCTGCGGCTAAGTGACGCTGGGCGTGGTAATGTGTTCTGTAATTAGTGTCTTCTGACGCAGCAGTATATTCTGTTAGTAATTACAAGTACCGTTATCGTCGCCTATTCACTTATTTAAAAAAGATTCTCAGGTAATATGCGAAAAAACAAGTCTCAAGTAGTATTAGGGAGATGTACTGGCATGGCGTATTCCGAGGCTAACTCAGCTGCAGAAGCAAACTCAAAGAGGGTCATGAGATACAGTGAGTGACCGAGCTCATGAAATGTTGGCTGAAATTCTGAAATGTGTTTTCGATTAGGAAGAATTACTTGGTCACGGTTGTGATACTGATTATCTTAAGGCATACTCTTATAACATTTTAGATTCGGCAGGATCTCGGCTTTAACAAGCACTTCTTTTTAATCACCTGTAGAAAGCGTGCTCGGTAAAATATGACTACTTAAGTAGCATAAATTTTTCCGATTGATTTTCGATGGTTTTGGAAATTCAAATATATTTTATAGAAACCACAAACAAAAATATGCTTTCTTTTAGTCCATCAATAGAGAATTACGTCTTCTTTATATTTTATACTTAAGGAAGGAGTATAATCAGGTTTCAAAAAAGTTTCTCATTATGAGACTTTTTAAGACGGCGATATGTCCATTCACATAGCATCGTATCTGTCCGTTTACCCCTGCTTCTCATGCAATGAACAACATGGTTCGCATCCATTGCAAAATTTTATGGACCCTGTAGGATATCTCTTTAATGACATGGAAAAATATGGGATTTTCTTTACGGGGAACGCAGGCACCTTGTAGAGTGTAATCACTTAGCGCTAATGCAACGAATTATCAGGCTCCAATTTTTTCGGCAATTAGAAAACTTTTTTAAAACCTAATTATACTCCTTCCTTAAGTATAAAATATAAAGAAAAACTGATCCTCTATTGCTTGACTAAAAGAAAGTATATTTTTATTTGTAGTTTCTATAAAATATATTTGAATTTCCAAAACCATCGAAAATCAATGGGAAAAATGCATGCCACATAAGTAGTCATTTTTTACAGAGCTGGCTTTCTACAGGAGATTGAAAAGAAATGCTTTTAAAAGCCGACATCCTGCCACGTCTAAAATGTTATAATAGTATGCCTTAAGATAATCACTATCACAACCGCGACCAAGTAATTCTTCCTAATCGAAAACGTATTTCAGAATTTCAGCCAACATTTCATGAGATCAGTCACGCACTGTACAGACGTGGAATTCAAAGGATACGGTGCCTATTTAAGTGCCAGCTTTTCAAAGTGAAGGCCGCGTTCCGTGCGTGTGTTGCAGAGATTTAATGGCATTGCTCATAAATGGTGCCATATATTCTTGGTTTGCAGTTCTTTTGACATTCAAACACGCCTACTCTCTCCCTCTCTCTTTTTATCGCATGGTGTCCCTAACTTGATCTCTCTTCGTCGATCAGATTGGATTGCCACGGATTGGTACGCCCCTGTGGATGAGTAAATAGCGTACATCACACCTAAAAAAAGGTTGTTTGTGTGTTCTGTGTGTGGTCAGAAAGCTCTCTATCTTCTGTTGTACGGCGCCTGCACGAGGTCGACTCAGTCTGACCACTTACAGAAGCTGCAGAAATAGACGACGGTCGGACAGGGAAATACAGTTACCTAATATTGCATTCCAGGGGACAGTTCCTATTCTCCTGTCAAAATGTTTACCTTAACCCGAACCCTCCTTGTTCAAAACGTACCAATAACACGAAACCCCATAAAAACTTCCTCAACCCCGGCTCACAACCCTAATCCGAACACCAGCATGGGCCTTACTGGTGATTCGACCGTCGCATCGGACTATGTCCACCGTGTGTCCTGCAGCCAGGTGAAGCAGGTACGGTGACTTTCGTGTGGTTCAGTTTATGGTAAGTGTAGACTTGCACAGCACCTACCGCACTCCTCCCTTCTCTCCACCCGGAGCCCGGTGTCAAGACAGAGTCAGGAAGACCGGGGGTGGGAGGACGCAGAGTCCGCATCTTGGATTCCAGCCCCAAACCAACTGGTTCACAAAAAACATTTTCACAGGAGTTTAACAAGCAGCAGCAAAATAACGGGTCAGAAGGACGAGGATGACTGGGCAGCCATGCTCACGACCTGTATCTCCCAGCGAGAGGACAGACGCATCCACTGGCAGGGAACCAGTTGTCAGCGCACACCAGACTGAGAGAGCCATGGCTTCCTGAGACTGGCCTAGTAGACGCTTACAGATCCTTAGGTTCAGAAGGGTAACACGCAGTCCTGCATTTGTCTCGGGTGTCACCTTTCAGTGTAGGACAACCAAACAGTCGTCAATTGCGAGACACCGCACATAAAGCACACCTCCACACTCCAAACATGCGTGAGAGTGTCAGGGTGCAGTTGAGACAGCGCCGTGACAGCCTGGCTCTCAGCCTACCACTCCGCCACTCCACACAAACACACACAACTGGGCAGACTGCGTGGACTGAGTTGAGTCAGCGACCTTCCAAGTCACGGCTCTTGACGCACTTTCAAAGTCTCGAATCACGCATGCAGCCGCATGGAGAAGGAGCCCAATTGCGTGGGAGGTGGCAATTGCGTCTTTGTGGGGGGGCGATGGTGGTGGGAAGTAGGGGTGCTGCTGGCGGAAAGTGTGATGGTGTGGTGTAGTCGGCGGTTGTCTACCACAGGTCAGCGTGAATGCGCATGTGTCCTAATAGGCCCGCTTCGAGATTTGGGGCTAGACGTCCTGCAGTAGAGGGAGGTCCATATTACAGACGGCTAACTTTGTGACCGCGAACCGTGACGGCAGAAACAGTCTCATTTGAACCGCCCAGCCAACACTGAGAACGACTCTTTTAGGGAAAATTACTGAACTACCGGTCATGATGTGCATTTTGCCCACGATTTACGCATGGACACTTTCACTTCAGACGATCAGAAGAAGAAGCGATCGCTGGAACAAGGGTTTCATTCGCCTGACGTTTCGGATTCTCACTCCATCATTAGAGACAGTTGTAGAAAGCAGCAGTAATCGATTTTTAGTCAGAGGCCCGTAAACGCAGTAACCTGTTATTATGCTCTTCTACTTACCAAGATACAGCATGGCAAACTAGAAATTCTGAGGACCACTTACTCGAGTGTACCTGGAAGTCTGGAGTAAGGCATGATGTTTTCATGAGCGCGGAATGTGTACTACTAAAACGTACTTTAGTAACTTACGTAGTGGCGAACTTCGGCTGAATGGATAGCATGTGGAAGGGAGGTAAGTATTAATCAAAACGACGTGAAAATCGCAGTGATTGCATGAAACTACCTAAGACAGACTGAGAAGGATGAGGAGGGGGGGGGGGAGCAACCGCTGTTTCCAGCTTGGATGACCAGTCGGTCAGCGACAACATCATTCGCTTCTGGTGGCACACGTATGCAACCACATACATACAGCGGGTCGGCTGTCTCATGAAAAGTCAAGCGAAATTCCAAAATGCGTTTTCGTTTCTTAAAGATAAATCAAATGGGGTTGTTAAAATAATCATCCGGCAGCCACATTCTACAATTATTCAATTACCTCAGAATGCCAGCTATCAAACAAACTTCTTTTCGCCTGCAGGCAAAAAATATACTTTTAAAAAAATGACTACTTACGGTGAGTGACCGATCTCATAAAATGTTGGCTGAAATTCTGAAATGCGCTTTCGATTAGGAAAGATTACTTGGTAGCCTTTGTAATACTAACTATCCTGCAAAATAATATTATAGCATTTCGGACTCGGTAGGATGTCAGTTTTTGAATACACTGTTTTTCGATCTGTAGAAACCGTACTCAGTAAAAAATGACTACTTAAACATCGTGTATTTTCCCATTAATTTTCGATGGTCTTGCAAATTCAAACATATCTTATAGAAACCATGAACAAAAATATGCATTCCTTCAATCAAATAATAGAGAATCACGTTTTCTTTATATTTTATAGTTAAGAAAGTAGTATAATTAGGTTTTAAAAAAGTTTCTAATTATGAGACTTTTTAAGACCGCGATATGTCTATTCACATAGCATCGTACCCGGCCGTTTACCGCTGCTCCTCATGAAATGTACAACATAGTTCGCATCCATTGCACAATTTCATGGACTATGTATAATATCTTTTTTGGGGGATAGAAAAATGGGTGATTTTCTTTGCGCGAAACGCATGCACCTTGTAGACTGAAATCACTAAGCGCTAATGCAACGAATGATCAGGCTCCAAATTATTCGGCAATTAGAAAACTTTTTAAAACCTAATTATACTCCTTCCTTTTGAGTATAACTTCGGAACAAGACGTTATGTTATACCGAATGAGCGAGAGAATGAATATTGTTATGCATGGCTTCCATGAAATATGATTGGACTTTTAGGAGCATCGAAAATCAATGAGAAAATTTCGTGATGCATAATTACTCATTTTTACAGAGTGTAGTTTTTGCACGGAGCTGGCAGGGAGTTCATTCGAAAGCCCGCTTTCTGAGGTAACTGTGTTATTATAGAATAATATTGCAGGCTGACTAGTTTTACAACCCTACGTAATTAATCTTTTTGAAACGAAAACGCATTTCGGAATTTCGATTAGCCCATCTACCGCACTTTGCAAATGACCTAATAAACGAGATCCAAACGATGTTTTGACAGCATAATCGCACATTATCCTCAGATAAGGCAACTGTCGGCCAGCCTTAATTTATCAGTGTCTGCTTCACGTCAGTCTTCGTGGGAGATTAATGGGGAGTTGTTTTCTTGGTCGTCCTGTGACATGATAGATGGCCGCCTGTTTTGAAACCTCACCGTCCTGTTTTGAAGTCCCCGCCATCCCTATTTGGAAAGTGCCTGCTTGGCAGGCAAACAGTGTCCGCGTCCTGAAAGTCGTGTGCGAACCCTGATCTGGCAGAGACCGACAAGCTGCGCGAAACTACCAAACCTTGGTTTCTTGGAGCCGCTGGCCCACTCATTGGACCTCAACTTTGGGCAAGCTGTGCTGTCTGTTTATCCGGCGTATGACGAGGACACAGAAGATAGCTGTTCGGTTACCCTCGTTTTTTAGTTACTTTACTATGTTATCATTTAATTGTGACAAAGCACACGACCCTCCGGGTTGGACCTCGTAGATCAGTGGTGGTTAGAGCGTTGTCCGGGCCCAAGTTTAATGCTGTGGGTTAGTCCACCTGCGTCCAACCCCGCCCCAATCATCTTGATTCTGTCTTGATACTGGATTCAGATGGAGGAGGAGGAGGAGGAGGAGGAGAAGAGGGAGCAGTAGATGGTGCGTAAGCCAACGACCACTATAAACTAATTTACGCGTAAGTCGCCATGCCTACTGCAACTTGTTGTGCAGCACACGGTGGACAGCGTCGGAATCGACGGCCTAACTGCCGGGTCAGAGTCCCATCGGTGTCGTCAAATTATTTAACTCTGCCAAAAACATTAATTAACTAACTGAAACTGATAGTAGTATGGTGGATTCTGAATGGATTGCTTGGCAAATCCTGTTTGCACAGTCAGCCTACTGTAACAGAATTTTTGGATTCCATACTTTGCGGTATCTGGGCGGGTAATCTGGCACAAATGTGATTAAAACCCTCAGTTCCCGGAGGGGTCTCATAATTCACGTAGTTAGAACATTGACTATACTCAAGCCTTCCTCATGCTGCTTTGGGTTCGAGTTCCACGGAGGCCGTCGAATTTTTCACAACTGAATTAAATAACCTATCCAAATCTACCAGAAACACTAATTCCTACATGGGCATATCATTTTTTTAACATGGCATATTTATTTCATGGCGAGGTTTGATCCTGCAGCCTCAGCTTGCTGATACCTTACAGTTAAATTCCTAACCAACTTTAGCAAATGCGGATATGCTGACTTTAAAAATATCCTGTGTTTGCATTTTCCTTACCATTTTAATCCAGCGAGTGACTGTGCCACGGGGGAGGAGGGCTTGTACGTCAGCCTCAGTTACTTCCGTTTTTATTTTACACGTAAGCGTGCTTCGAACCCTGCTTGCGTCCTCCTTACTATCTCAGTCCAGCGAGTGGCTAATGGGATTGATTGAACAGTTTGGAACTCCGTCGGTTCCACTACAGTACTCATGCACTGAGAATTACCACGCGGTTCCTTCTGCGGCATTCCACGTGTGATTACGCTCTCCTTATCCGCTTAATCCAGCAAGTGCCTGTGTTAAGGGGAGCATGTTTACACGCCACCCTTCACTCGCTCCCCTGCGCGTGCTTTGAACTCTGCAGGGACTCTCTTCCGCTTCTTAATCCAGCAAGTGGCTAGGTTAGGTATGCCAACTAATATTGTTTTAGTAAGCTAACCGTAGGGTGTCAATCAAATGTTGCCGCAAAATCAAATCTTGCCGATATTTTACTTCATTCTCGAACACCACTAGAACATGTGTGTTCGTTCCCCGGCAATCTTTTCGGGACAATGATTGACATAAGTGCTCACTTAAACGTGGAAATTCCAGAGGTTATACAGGGTATTTATTTTAGCGCCATTACTATATCAACGCTGTCCCCTGGCTTAAATAATCCCCCCTCCAATATGATAACTCTGACGCGTGCTCGGACGAATTTGGACACTTTAATCCCAAATGTCACTGAACAGCTTTTTCTCCTGCTTCCTCAATTCGGCAAACAGTTCGCCTGGCCGATATCCATACCGTTCCCTTGAATACAATGGGCGGCTGGAGCGTTTAGGCAATTAAAAAGTCTTCAGAGACTCGGCTGCTAATAAAAGTCCGTCAAAGGAAATAAAGTATGTCGACTAGTGTTGATCTTTCCGATCGGCCCTAACTTACGAGTTTTCATTCAGTAAACGTCAGTTAGTGGATGGGAAAACCCGCATGTAGACTTCGTGGTTTTCCTGGTTTCCTTGTTTTCCCATTTCATGGCGTCGAATGTATTCAGTACAGGTGCATTAATATTTATTTTCTTCAATAACCTTCTCCTCTCTTAAGTAGCTATTCCGGTGGCGTCACCGTATCAGGGCGCTCAGACGTAAGGAATCTGTTACGTAGCTTTGTTCATACAACGCGACATTTTCTAAAAAATGGCAGGACTATATGATATTAAGAAGTAATTATATTTAACAGTTCTGTTAATAAAGAAAGAGACAAAATCGCTGGGATAAGGGCTTTATTAGCCTGATGGTTCGGATTCCTGCTCGAATCCATCATCACAGACAACAGCAGATACGGGTGATTCACGAACAAGGGGCTGCAGTATTTATAGGATGTTGTCACTATGCTACCGCATACTTATGAATATTCACGACTCTCTCCCCCATTCATCAGGGATCGTTGCACTTGATGGGCTGACTGTTTGATGACCAACATTCGCGTCGTTAACTGCTGCAATTTCATCAAGTACGTTGGATGTTGGTGTGATACTTGCTCGACCATCTAACGCACCGACGCTGGTGTTGGAATAAGTGTTCACATGGGCGTTCCCCGCCTGGTCAATTACTCCGCCTAGGCGAAGTCTCAGCACAGAGTATGGAAGGGAAAGTTCATTGCACTTGTTAATGGACTGGGGTCCAGTAAACCATGATTCCAGTAGCTGCCGGTTCATGCGGTTGTCACCTCTTGCGAGAATTTTGGCCTCATCGAATTTGAATGTGTGGCCGGATCTCGTCGAATGAGTCGCAACTTGAGAGCTGACGTCATTTCTCCGCACGGCTGCAGCATGTTTGGCCATTCGCGTTCGAAGCTGCCTTCTAGTTTCTACGACGTAGTTGCTTTGTCCGCAACTGCACCAGATTCGATAAACGACTCCAGACGTTTCCTGACATGGCAGCGGGTGTTTCGGTTTCATTACCAGACGCCCGATGATTGCCTCTGGTCTGTGTACAACTTCAACCCCAAGTGGTGCGAGAAGGCCGCCGATAGCTTCCGAAACGTTCTTGCCATGCGGAATTGCTCCCTAAAATGTGGGATCCGTGTGGTTAGACCTTCCGTCCCTTTTGCCTATGCACCGATTGACAAAGTTGCGCAGGTAGCCATTGGCTTTGTCTCTGATGCGCTCGAGCAGAAATCCGAAACGTCAGACTATTAAATCCCTTGTCTCAGCGATGGTGTCTCCTTCTTCAAAACAGCTTCCTGGGACTCGTCTCTTCGCCTTTATTGGCAATTCCGTTCATACATGCAGGAAGTCTACACGAGGCTCATAGTACCGGCACATTAAATGACTCATTTCGAACTAGATATTAAAAAGCGGCGAAGGCATCCACTTGCCCCACATATATGACTCTGAAGGGAAGACTGTTAATTTTGACCCTGCGTCCTAAGGCGCCTTTATTAACGCCTCTAACAACATGTTGCTAGCCTACTGTTCTAAAACAGCCTCTCCCTTTAAGGCTCCCAGTCCTTATGAACATCCACAGTGTTAATGCACAATTCACACTTGGAGGCAACAGCACGGCCTACAGTTACGCCTCATTTTTGTTTGATGACTCAACTTTGTCAGCAGAAACCAGTTTAACGTAAAGACATCTATCGGCATAACCTGACACTTTAGAAAGTTGGAACTTCAGTTCCTACTCAAACGGACAGCTAATGTGGTCCTCCATCTTGAATGTCTCTAACTGCGCATTAAGGTAGTGGGCTTGTTTCCACAAAGTTGTCTTTTCAGACACCTATCAAAACACGACAGCAAGCTTTGGCAACGGTATAGAGAAGGACCCCACTTGACTGCCACTAGACTGTGGATTGTGCCATACGGAGTTTATGGCAAAGGGAATTTTATGGATGGGGCAGTTCGCTAGACAGTAAGCTGACAAAACGAAAGACAACACAGAAATTGCTTGAATTTTTACCGAAAGTCTTATCCTACGCTATTGTACGACAATGGAAATGAGTTAAGGTGTGAGGTCGTGGGAAGTAATTATTGTTGGCGGTGTAATTTCTGCGACAGCCTGCAAATGTATGTCAAGATAAAACCCCATATGACACGATCCACAGCCCAATGACGCTGAAGTGGGGCTCTTCTCTATACCGTTGCCCAGAATTTTGCTGATGTCTTTAGGATATGCGTCAGCTACTCCGACGCAACTCGTGTCGGCATGTCCCGATGCGACACATGTTCCACACTAATTATTAGCGTTCTGCAAGACAACCCCTCCCACCTAGAAAAGGTTTCTGCAGAAAACTACAAAAATAAGTGCGTCTTGTCGGTAATCAACATTCTTTACATTCCATGCACCACTTGACGCTACCGAAAATTATTTATCCATATTATTATTTATCCATATTATTATTATCCATATTATTATTATTTATCCATATTTATCCATATTATTATTTTATCCATATTATTTATCCATATAATGAACGAAACCCAAGGTCCTTAAAAATGCACTGGTTTGAAATCTTCCCCATTGCGGTTTCTGATGAGAAGAAGCCCGAATGCCAATAACCGCACCCTTTCCGGATGTATCCATTGATTTGGAACCTCGACTGGTTGATAGGTGCATTATATGCATTTTAGTGAGCATCGGCAGTCACAGGCTAAAATGGCGTATATCGTCGCCAATGTGATCTCGGTGGCGTGTCAAGTGCTTTCTGAAACAGCTGCTTTAACGCATCAAAGCGGGTGTCTGCAACTGTGGAGCGCACTTTAGGCTGTTCACATTGTTGATCCTTTTATCCGGAGCGATATCATACCTCTCGCCAGATGGGTTTACGTCAACCAGTTCTCTCATTTAGGGTACTGTCATCCGACAGAATATAATGAGACCGCATATTTTTATCCAGCAGACTTTGGAATCATCAGTTTGTCAGAAGATAACTACCCCACCTTGTCCGTAAATACATACTTTCGTCACGTACAGACCGATTTGGATTCCTTTAGCTCCCTGGATGAGATGGCTTTGGCCTATAATCTTTCAGACATGCACTTGCCATTTACGAGGCCGCGATTACAGTCTGAAGTGTGACTTGGAAAGGGAACCCCCCTAGTGCGAGCGACCTTTCGTTCAATTCTGAGAAGGATCCCTCTTCTGGTGTCCAGGTCTAAACACTTACCCTGACCCAAACTTTAACTCTAACCTTGGGCCCGTCCTCCCACCCGTGTCTCTTGCCTTTAGATTAATCTTCCTGGCTTTTAGTTTAAGGTCACTTGCATTGCGAGGATTCCTATGCCCGGGACCTACCACATCAGGATTCAACTTCCTAGATTTCCATTGTCGTTCCCGTTGAGTCAAAGCACAACATTGTCGGCGACAAACCTCGTGGAGTGCCAGCTGAAATTATGAAATGTGTTTTCAGTTCGGGGGATTATTTAAATGCTCTTGCAATTGTTATTATCGCACGGGACCATTTCCTGACACATCAGTCGTGGCGGAATTCCAACGTTTGAATGAACAAAAACTGCGGAAACTATTGGGAGTTTTGTCAGTTTTGTAACACACCATATTTTCTTCAACTCTTACACCCAAGAGTTGCATATATTGGCTTTGTAAACTGTTCGGTGCTTAATAATCTTGAACTCGACCTGCCATTTCCCTTGTGTTTAGGTTTCTCTATCAACATGCTGCATGCATTCCATGTATAGAAAAGCCTATAGTAGACGGGCTATCTCGAGCTTCTGAAGGACGTCCTACAGTTAATTTTACCCTTACTAAAATTCTCCTATTTTATACTAAATAGAAAATCTATTCGTCATCGGCTAATCCAAGTCCAGTGCGGGGTTTTAAAGATTTTGAGACAAACATCTCAGACCGTTTTGGTGGCAGGAACGCAAGCTACAATTCGAGAAGTTAATAAACAAATAGTTTCCAAAAAGTGAACTTGGGAATCGTTATACTGTATTCTGATAGGACATTTTGCTTTGTGAATTGTCAGTGCAAATTGACTTCTCCGTTAAGGGTTCTGACGGTGTAGATTTGCTATTTTATGCCTTTGTAAAGGTCTGTTTCAAGGTATTTGGAATTTTTATATTCCAGCGCAGGCAAATTTGTTCGGCCCGAAAAGTAGTCTTTTTTCTTTCGTGCAATGTCTAACAGCTTCATTTGTGCAGTAACATACATATTAACCTCTGATTTACATCCAGAGTAGCTTTAGGAGGAAAAGGATACTTAAGATTCATGAAACATTGCAGTCACATCTCACCCAGAAATTTCAGTTTCACAAGTGGACTTCTCATTACAACAATTAATGCAATCAGCTGGTTTCCCAAATAAAGCGCTGACAGCTGTAGCCGAGGCAACAGTTATCGCAAAAATTTAATAAAGGCATTCGAAAGAATCCGTACTGAAAACATACAGCTATTGACAATTACTGCAAATGTTTTGTTGAAAGTCATTGTCCTACCTCTAACAGCAGGCAGGTCCTCAGGCACTAGTTTAAGAAAATGTTTCCATTATAAACTGTTGTTCTCAGCCCAAATATGTACTGCCCTTCGAGTTGGCGACGAACTGTTTCGTTACTCGTGCCAGGTTCAGAACTACCAGTAAGGTGCATGAATAGCAGTCTGTTTTCCCCAAAAATGTACCTATTTAACGAAAATTCTTAGGAAACTACGAAGTTAACACAACACGAGTGAATATTTCTTTTACTGGTCATGATAATAACCTGCAATCCAAGGTATTTGGCTCTGCTACTGTCCTGCTCTTGATTCAACAGGTAAAGGGTAGTCAAGTGGTTATTTTCATGTTCGCTTGGCAAGTAGTTTTATGCCTGGTCAGCACAACGCACGGTCGACACCTTGCATTCACATGCAGAATTCGTCAAAAATAAATGGGTAATATCTAGGACCAGCTGGAAAGTAAGCGGCGCAGTCGTGTCAACGGGACTTTTGGACATTTGCTCGGTGATTTGCGCGTGATTCCTTTTACAATGACAACCGACTTGCGCAACGTCTACCGCACTCCCTCCTCTTTCCCCGCCCAAATCCTGGGTCTAGACAAAGTCAAGTAGTCGGGGGGGCGAGGGAAGCCACAAGTGATTGGCAGGATCTGAGCCAGTCGTGGCCCCCGACAGTTAGGCTATCACAAGCATCGACGTCAACGCGTGTTCCGTGGAACGGGCACAACACCGGTAACTTTCACAGGAATTAATATATATATATATACACATATACATGTAGGCTGTTGACCAAACGTCATATATGAAATCACACTAATTACTAAACGATATTTAGATGTACATTCCGCTGAAGCTCAGTGATGAGACGTTATTTTATTTCTTCTCTCATATTTACTGCGTTTTTGATATGAGAATACATTCTATACATCTAAAAACGAAGTTTACTAGATTTGAGCCATTTCTGATGTTTTCGGGATATTGCGCTTTTCTAAAAAAATCGACATTTATAAACAATGCAACACTGACTTTAATATTTATTTTATGTTTTTAATATTTTCAAACTTGTACTTAATTAACATAGACATTGAACTCATGAAATGGTGTCGATTGCGAACGATTGGCAATCATTCATAAATTTCGACACACAGCATGATTTACTTCACTACGTGTATATAGTGAGACAGGCTTATGCAGCGTCTATCGCGCCCTCTTCCTTTCCTCGTCCACCTCGTTCTGATGTCCAGACGACCCGAGGTTTACACAAGCGCAGTGAATGACAAGACTAAACACTTCGTCTACACCTGCTGAAAACGACCTGTTCCCCACTGCATATGGAGTTTTTTGACGACATTTATGATCTCAGGTTGATCACATTCACAAGATGTGCTTGCAGCTTAGCTTTCGCGCTCCTGAAAAGGAGCGCATTATGCTTTCAGGTGGCGGCCTCTCGAGTCCTGATTAAATTAAAAGAGTCAGATTTGCAATACTGAAAAATGTGTTGATGTAACATGGAATTCACTGCCCCGCACTTTAGCTCTTGCCTCACACATAAACCGGTCCACTGCTTTTCTGGCATCCTCTTGAAGACATGGAACCACTTTTCATGGGGTATTTTTGCAGGGCTGGATACGCATTACCAACGTTTACGCAAGCAGCTTGATCTTTGCTCGCAAATAAAAGGTACTGCTAAGCTGTACGGTGAATCTGGAGGGAGTGATTCTTGGTAAGCAGGGGCAAATTAAGTGAACGGTATGGTCAGTTATCCGGTAATCTATACCCAATACTTAATCCCCTCAAAAGTGAAGAGAAAAACTAACTCTCACCTAGACCCCCCACGGTGGCAAGAGGCTCAGATTGATTGCTGGGGGTCTTTATGGGGGGGGTCGTTCAGAATCCTACAGCGGGAATGCGAGCATACCAAGTTGGTGACGGTGGCCATTAAATTAGACACTTTTCCCTTTCCGGAATGTAGAATGACCTTATTCAGCAGCCAGTACTACTTACTGGCCCTTTTATCACAGAAGGTTTCTTCAGCGAAGGGCTACACTTTCCAGGAGTGCTATTTTCACGTGAACATTATGTTATCATCTTTCGTTCAAAAAATAGCAACATAAGGATGCATCGAACTGACTATTCGAAGAACATATTAGGGCACTTCAGACGTCAGTACTGTTATAGCGAATAAAAGTTCTGATTAGGATGACTGTTTTAAGACAGAATAATATTAATTTTGCTGCCAAAACCAAACTTGATCATGATCTGCACGCCTCTATAAGCTGTTCAGTTACAGCCGGGCGTAAACGTAATCACAGTTTTATACTTAAGAGTCCTTCTGCTACATTTGTCCTCTTTTGACGCCGACTTGGAGTTGGCCTCTTTTTTGGAGTGATTGGGTAACGGTTTTGCCCTCCTATTGCATATGAAACATTGTCAGTACAAACGACGTCGAGAGCACCTCCGCGGCGAACGAACCGACGAGCGGGCGGGCGGCAGTTGATTGAAGCATAAACAAGCGAGTATTCTGCAGAAAGCCGCAAATGACCCCGGGCCATTAGATGATGGGTCAAAGATTAGACGTGCCCCACCTCGCTATCAACGCCGCGCCCTCTTAACGCGGCATGATTTATTGCGTTTGGTCGAGGTAACTTCACCTCAGCGAGGGGTAGAAGGGGAAGCATAGTCTGCTGGACGAGGTCTTAGCTGGAAAATTGTTTGGACTAAGGAAGAAACTTTAATCAAGCATGAGAGAGGAACAAGACGGATTAATTTTTTACTGGTCGCGCTACCCATTCAATCAGTACCTATCAACGTGGATTTGAAAGGGTGATCCCCAAAATATTGCAAGCCTGGGGTTTGATTAATGTTATTTCATATGACCATATACTTAACTATACAACTTAGTCTATCGAATTACAGTCCACTGACATCAACATTATGTGATGCACTAGTCAGGAGTTCTGGAAGACTATGCTAGTAAAATGATTTGGAGAGGAATATTTGCCTTGCCACAACCTTAGAATTAGGCTGCAAAATCTTAAGAAAATGTTTCTCTATGAGTTTAACTGCGGCATCCGCACGGTTATGAGGCAATTTGAGAGTGGGATAGAGGACTATTTGCTATTACTGCAGAATGGCAGACATTGTCGTTGGTGGCATGCATTCAAAAAGTCTCCATCGCACTTTAGAACGCGCATTCAGTTATAATCCCCAAATTCGGTTTCATTGGCGGCCCTTCTGATTAGGAACAAAAAATGCTATGCTTTGTATTTTGATGTATAAAGCCTACTCAGTATACATAGGACAGTCGTTTTAATGTTTTTTTCATCTTCTAGGCCTTACTAAATCCCAAATCCTGAATTTAATGCGGACTGGTCGACTGCGCTTCAGGCTTGTGTGAGTCAACATTTTGGTTTACAAAAAGCACGCTCCTAATCTGTCTTTCTGCCTATAGACCACACGATGGTCCGTCTCATAACAAATTAATCCGCTGTACTTGTTATTGGTCATAAAAAGCACCTACATTCTCGACAAAGCAATCCGAAAAATTCGGTCTAACAGACAGTTCCAGACGAAATTATAAGTTCTCCCAATTAGTAGAAAATTCCCCTTTGAAGTCTCTTTGCATGCTGCAATTATAAAAACATCGCAACGTCTATCATGATAATTAACTTAATAAACTACTTTAAAGTTCTGAGCTGTCCTGTTTTTTGAAACAGTACGTCTTTAATAGAGATCAAAGCACTCACATTAACCGAAATTTGCCTATCAAAATAAAGGTCTTTTATTTTCACTTCATATAAGGGCTTTAACATGCGGGCTAAATAAATGGGAAAATCTGGAAAAATCTATTCCACAGCAGTAATTTCAAACGTTTTCGGTAAGGCTTTGTCGCAAATACTTTTTTAATTATTTCTTATGGCAGGATTTACTATGTCAAGGTTATAATGTTGAGATGTAATTGTGCTCAACTGCTGTCACCGAATACATTCCTACTATATTTTATAAATAAGTGACACCTAACTTGCAGTATTTTCACAATAAATACGAGCGTTTTTTGTTTTTTAGATTCTCAGAGTGAAACCACAGGACACTGAAGTCGCACCATTTTAACTATATTATTCAGTCAGTGACAAAGCGTATATGCCAAACAGATTTTTACCTATGGCCAAAATGCAATAATTTAATTTTTGACTCAGATGACAGATGTTCGATGAATAAATCCACTAATGCAAACGCAATCGTGAGTTTTGATTCGGGGTTTTGGGTTCCCGTTTATTTGCTAATTTTAATATTTACTGAGTGACGCTTTATTTGTAAAAATATCTATACCACGGACAATTTGTTCTTCTTCGTAAAAAAGTTAAGTGAGCTCAAAACGATTCATTGTCGAGTAGTGTTTTCTATCGGGAATATAACCTATATTGGGAGTGCGTTCACCGAACGGGTTAGGTGACCTGTTCAGCCCTTGTGCCTTGAAAGTCCTGAATGCGATCTCACAATGGCAAAGGATGTAAAAAGTAAGTCGCCGACAAAGAAAAGGAAACCTGAGATGGCCGTTTTGGCCAACCCTACCCAGGCCTGGGGACGCCTGAGGTTTGAAACCACGTTTTTGGGTAAACTAGCGTTGGAAGGTCGAAAGCTCCATTATTAAGTCACGGACTGGTTGTCCTGTCAGTTGTAATCGGAAATATTATCAATGAAGTGGAGAATGTTCACCGGTCAGCATTTCAATAAGGCAAATATAAATTTGGTTTATATTTGAAGGCAAATACATTTTTTGGAAAAAGGGGAAAACTTTTTGAGTAACTTTTCGACGTCGGTCCCCCCTGTCGTTGTCAGACTCGAGTAAATGTATAAAAAAGCAATCAACATTTCCAACGCGCTGAAAAATCAATATTCGTTTGGTGCTTCAGCCAGTGAGCGGCCGTCGTGTGCGTCAGTCCCTACTGATCGGCTTTTGTCTCTTCTACTTTTCCCTGAGATTTTTGTATGTGGCATCCAACTCGATATGCTTATTGATGCAGGATGCATCGCAGTGCATAGTTTCAAGAAATTATCGCTTTTTTAGATGGGCAAACTCCGAAGATGCGAGTTTTGTCCCATACGAAAGTGTGTGCATGGCCATTTGAGACAGGTGGTCTCGCCTCTTAACGGCCAATTAATGTTCGTGGATGCGTGTAGATGCAGATTTTGCCGGTTAGCCACAATATACGGCATCACAGGCATCGCATGGGATCTTGTAGACGACTTCCTTTCTATCGAGATAGTCAACCCTATCCTTAGAGTGAACAAGCTGGGCGCGTAAAGTAGTCGTCAGTTAATACAGACTGACACATACGGCGGTCGCTCACTTTTTGAAGCACCAAACGAGTATGGATTTCTGAGCACGTTTGAAATGTTAAGTCTTTTTTACGCATTTACTCCAGTTTAATGACAACGCGGGGAATCGACATCAAAAATTTACTCAGCAACTTTTTCTCCGATTTCCAAAGAACGTATTTTCTTTCAAATTATATTGTTTGGAATGTCCACGTTCCGATTTAGTTTATACGTATAATTATTTCAAAAAGCACATTCTTCGAGATACTTGCAGGCCGAAGCCACAGAAATCTTAAAACTGTGGCAGACATTCGGGATACCAATTTAAAATACAAAAATCAGAATTTATAAGACAAAGGATCATATCTTGTCTTTGAAGGGCATTTTGACGGTCCACAGGTGAGGTGTTTGGAAAAACGTTTCCAGTCTTTGACGAATTTTGAGCCTGTTTTGCAGTTGCAGTGCGTTCAGCGTTCCTAAGCCTTATGCTGCATGTCCTCCGTTTGGAAAAATCATGCGTTTGCCTTCGTTTTTGAGTAGTCCACAATAATATTCATAATATTTTGAAATTAGTGTACACCATCCTGTGTTCTGTATGAGCAGTAATAACGAACGAACATCTAAGATCTTATATGAATGAACATTGAACTGTCTTTAAACCTCTCATAATCGCAGACGTTTTGCAAAACAAATAATATTTTTTCACTAAGAAAAAAATGACGACGTATCTGGATGCAAAACTAATATTTTATGAATGTATATGTGAAAGGTGCTTGAATCCGTAGATGGGCGATTTGCGAGCTTTTCGATATCTGAAAGCGCACCTCGAAAACCAATAAACCTCACGAGCGAGGGTTCACGGTGGGTATCTTTTTAAGTGGGTAAAACCTTTCCAACATGCTGTCTATCTTAGAACTGTCCATCTTGTCCCACTTTTGCAGGATACAACTGGCCCAAGAATAGCTGGCGTGACCTTAGAAGACAGTCGGCATCAGTATTCTCTTTTTAGACTACCGTGTTGTCCATGAACTCCCAGTGTCAACGGAAATCGTCAACACTAATCGTTAGGGCAAAGTCAATACAAACGTTTGGCTTTAATCTGCCACTTAGATAAAGAGTCACTTAATGACATTCGTATCTACGAGTATGCTAAAACGAAGAAAAGGTAAGAGCGCGTTTCAGTTATGAAGTGGTTTATCCACCTCAAGAAGACGTGGTCTATAACAGTTATGACTTACACGTGGATTATAGCAGAGTAAACTCGGGCAACTAACTTACTCCCCCTATTCCACGCCCACAAAATTCATATATCCGGACAGTGCATGACTTCGGAGATTGGAATAGGGAAGTATGGATCGGATGCCCTTCCTGCCCGTACAAAACACACTCTGGGCCCCATCTACACATGAACCAGTCTCAAAAAGGGATTATCTAACCTCTAGCCAGGGACACTGTCCATCTAGACCACGTTTAGAAGAAGTGTTTTGAAGTCCGATCTTCGGTAGCAACTAGAACTGGGTTATTGTGTCGACGAGAAACTAGGACACTTAATGCGTTTTGGATTAGTACCGGCTTGACCATTTTCCTCACCACTCTCACTTTCAGGAACATGTTGAAATCATGCATACTTATGATTAGATCGAGCGTAGCGGCTGATGCGAAATACAACCGTCGCTATCCGCGAGCCACACACACGCAGATTTAAATCTTGACCATGTGAGTAGGCTGTATGGGATAACTGCAGTCTAATCCCTGTTCCAAGGGCAAAACATGTTGCTCCATAAAGTATCCATCTTCAAAACCACTACCACTCGATGCTGCGGAAGAACATCTCAGAATTGGCGTATATTTTTCCTTTTCCATTCGACATTGGCCAGTCCGCATCTATCGGTTGGCCAACAACTACAGTTTGTGCAGAAACTGAATTGACGAGAGCCTTCGTATATCATTCTCATACAGAGGAGTAACTAATGATTCACGCACACTTAACACAGTGGGCATAATGTACCTCTTGGGTCAATGCGGTCCTCGCTTTTGTCTGACATAACAACGCAGTGGACCTTCGGAGAGCCAACTATTTTATGCTCCATGCGTGTGCACAGATGTACTCACAGACACCCACGTCCAACCCCTTAGTGGGTGCAGTAGGCAAGTGCGGACCGTCACGAATCAGAATTTTACGCGTGCAAAAACAATTTATATCTAGACCTAGTCTGGCAAAGGATTCTACGGTTGGTTAAAGTTATCTTCTCGTGATTGGTTGGGGCATTTTAAATCTGTCCTTAACGATTTTCTATGTGGCATCTAAATCGATATACCGGTTGATGCATGCCTCATCTGAGTGCATTGCTTCCAGCGACTCATGGCCGTTCTCTATTGGGCAGGCGTCAACAATACGAGTGTTTTTCCATGCAAATTTGTACCCAGTGTCCAGTGTGTGCATGACCACGTGAGATAGATGGTCGCGACTCTTTACCACTAACTGATGTTCATGTATACGGATTGAGACAGATTTCCTAGTTTGACCAAAATAGACGACATCACAACTAGAACCTGTGATTTTGTAGGCAGCAACTTTTCTTTCGAGGTAGCCAACCCTGTCCTTAGGGTGTACAAGATGCGTACGTAAGGTAGTTACCTACTGGTGTGCTACGTATATCTGGTACCTTTTAAATGGCTTTTGATTAATGAAGATATAGTTTTCGCATATGGAGATGTTTGCCGGGTGGTTGGTTTTGGTGCCTGAGCTGCCGTAGCATTGGAAATATCTTTTCTCCTAAATTGCTGGTTCCTCATACATTGACGCATAAAGTCATGCTGGTACCCATTTTGGGAGGGCTTGATTCAGAAGGCTGTAGACTGTAGCCCGTTTGTGAGAGACAGGGTGGTTACTCTCAAAGTGTAGCATGACCTCTGATTTCGCCTCTTTGCGATAAACTGATGTATGAAGAGATTCATCTATTTTTCGACTTACATACATGGACACCCAGAAATGGGAGCTGTCCAACAACATCTGTTTCGAAAGTAAACCTAATTTCTGGAAATATCGAGTTAATATTGGTATGGAGCAGATTCAACTGATCTTTTTTGACGATGATAAAAGTGTCATCTACATATCGCAGCCAAAACCGAAAAATGCAGTTGTATAAGGACGCTCTATCGGCGTGTCGAAACGCACTATAGTGAGCTGGAAGACAAGATTTCCGAACTACAATACCTCCGACGGGTATTCAAAGCCAATGGCTACCCTCGCCACTTTGTTAACCGGTGCATACGCAAAAAAGTACGAAAGGCCTAGCCGTAAGGACACCAAATCTTGGCGGGCGATTCCGTATGTCAAGAACGTTTCGGAAGCTGTCGGTCGCCTTCTCGCATAACTTGGAGTTGGTGATGCAAACAGGCCGGAGGCAACCATCAGGCGTCAGTTAACGAAACCGAAAGACCCAATGCCACGGCTATAAACGTCTTAACTCGTTTATCGGATCTGGTGCAGTTGCAGACAAAGCAACTACGTCGGAGAAACCGGAAAAGAGCGCCGAGCGAGAATGGGCGATCACGCTGCAGCGGTGCGGAGAAATGACGCCAGCTCTCAAGTTGCGGCTCATTCGACGAGATCCGGCCACACATTCAAATTCGATGAGGCCGAAATTCTCGCAAGAGGTGACAACTGCGTGAGCCGAGAGCTACTTGAATCATGGTTTACTGGCCCCTAGTCCATTAACAAATGCAATGAACTTCCCCTTCCATACTCCGTGCTAA